AAACTAAAATATAGCACAAAATTTGTATTTGTTAGATTGGTAAAAAAAAAATTAAATTGAAAGTTGCTTCATGAGGTTTAATATATTATTTACTGAGACTTGATGTCGACAACACTGTGAGTCAACTGCTTTCAAAAAGTTTTTTTTTTTTAATATCTGTACTGATTTTCCTAGGTCTTACCACTGACACATGCCCTCCAAACAATAATTAATAAAGACTAAGACTGAAATTAACATTAATTAAACTAAAAAATTTCCAAAAAAACTAAACTCACTCTGGAAACTAGCTGAACCTAAACTAAATTCTAGAAATTACAAAAATATAATAACTCTCTATAACCATGCTTTACTGTATTTACACAAGTTCTCTGGGCATCATCTTTGTGTACTAAACTTCCCAAATTGCTCCTAAACAAACTAGCACAACACCCACCAAAACGTTCAGGTGTAGAAAACAAGACCAGAGCAGCATGCCGAGTGAGAGGCACTCTTCTACTGACCTGCTTCCACTGGGGGATGAGGAGGACCAACATGATAAGGACTTTCTCAAACATCATGATGAGAATGTAGAGGATACACTGCCCCAGCCACGCTGTGCACTGCACTGGCTCTCCTGGGGAGACAGATGATTGTCTAAAACCATGATTATGTATTTCACATATATACATATATATAGTACAAAAATATTAGATGTCACTGCTTTGGTGTTACATAATTGCCAACAGAACAAAGTAAAGCATTGAAAGGGTAGGAAATGGCACTGCAGCGCTATAATAGCAAGGGCAGCTACTGCCCTCCACTGGACATCAGAGGCACTGTCCTCACCGTATTCTCCAAAACGCAGAGAGTCCCATTGCCTCCATTCTACAATAGCACTGACGGCTCTTACCCCTGCATAGATCAGCAACATGCCCAGAGAAGCATCTAACAAGAAATTAATGAGGTATCTGGAGGGAAAAGGGAAAATTAATGTGAACTGAGTGTCTACAAAGTTAAATTATCTTCATTTTAAAAAGATTACTCTGATTTATCAGAGACATCCAAATACTCACAATGAGCAGGGATCCTCCTCTGTGAGGTCCGACAAATAGACATTAGCAAAGTGGATGAAGAGCATCCCAATTGCCTGTTTTGAGGTGTCCAGAAACCTGCAGATACACGCTTACGTTACTTCCAAGGCACTCCAGTGGGTCTCATGCGGTTTCTTTGCACAGAAATTAATTTAGCGCTGGCTCGATTCCCTTACCAGATCTTCCAGGGTCTCCTCTCATGTTTGGGCTCCCTGAAGCGCTTCACTGTAGAAGAAAGAGAGTGCCACATAGATAGTGGGATTTTACAACAAAAAAAAAAATCACTCTTGCAAATACAGTTGCACACATTCAAACATTCTCTCTTGTTTTTATTAAACAAAGTTACAACCCTCCTGTGAGCCATTAAAGCTCCAGTGAGCATTTTATTGCTTTCGTATATGAATACCGGTTTATTCTAAGACTCTTGCCTTCGTTGCCCTGATATCAGTCAATTAAGTGAACAAGCGAGAAATCAAAGAGTTTCTAATCAAGCTGACATGAAACTACTAGCTATGAGAGTTTAAGTGAAAGGGAATGGATGCTTCTTTCAAAATGATGCAAAGGGAGAGAATCAATAAATCAGTGTTAGAGGGAAAACTGTTCATCTAGTCTGCCCAATTTAAAGATACATGAGATAAAGTGATACAAATTAAGCTATTAGTGAACTGTTTGCTAAGCACTCCTGCTGGGTAACAAACACTAAAGCCACTGTATGTATGCATCGGTGTGACTGTTATTCTGGGAAGCAATCTGCTTCACTCAAGTCTTCGCTTTACGGCTCCATCATGGAAAGTGGACATCAAACTACCTCACTTTTGTAAACTTAAACTAAATGTTGTTGCTCTGTCCAAATATATACTGAGGGCTGCTTTTTACGGAAAACTATGAGCTCAGTTTGTGCTCCGAACGAGTGTGACTTCATAACCATCACACCCCACTTACAGCTGGGTGTGATGTGAAGGCAGACAGAGGCCTCTGCTTCCTCCTTCTGCCCAGAAAAAAAAACAAAACTACTCACTACTGCGAGGCTGCTGAGCCACATAAAACTAAGGCTTCTCTCATTAGGTCACACAGCTGCCAGTTTGGTGCCAGACACTGGCTGAACCCAATCTTCTGTGCCAGCGTTTCCTTGTCTGTGTTTATGGACATTTGCCTGCCCATCTCTAATGTAAAGCCACCTTAGCCTGAGGAAAAGAAAGGTTTTACAGTCTGTCCACATGGAGAGGTAAAAGAAGATGAGCTTATTGACAACAAGCAACTCGAGAATAGTCTCATGCTGCAGTAGGTGTCACCAAGATGACATTTAGCCATCACGAGACAAGGACAGCCAAAGAAAAAAGAAAAACTAGATATAGTGTTGCACTACAATCTATGTTGACTACATAAGACAGCATGTTTGATAAGGTTTACTACATGTTGTGTGTGTGTGTGTGTGTGTGTGTGTTGCATTTATAAAACTTTTCAGGTGTGTAGCTGAGATCAAACTAAACGTCCAGTCTGAAGAGATGAAGTGAACCATGAGTGCTCAGTAAAGGACGCTGAAAGAAGGCAATCCATGGGGTTGTCAGTCCTGCCATTTCACATCCATGCCCCACATTTTAAGTATTAAATTACTGTAAGTATTATTTCAGTATTTCTAACTCCCAGTATGAGAGCTCTCTGAGTTATAAAGACATTTATACTTCGGTGCACTCTTAACATCAGACCCATTAGGAAGGACCCTCATCATGAAATCTTCATGAAATTAAATACAATGCTCATTATAAATGCAACCTTGAAACAAGATTGGTTCAGGTCTGGGTTAATGATGACTGCCACCGGTTTGTGTTGACCAGGAAGGTGCTGTTGGAAACTATGCTACTGCTGAAGACTAATGAGGAGGAGAGGGGAGAGGAATGTTGTTGGATTCTGCACCATTGCACATATTATTGTCTGTGTCATGTTGCAATTGTGCGTCTGTTCTGTTTACATTGGCAGCTTACGTGAATAAAGTTAATTCTGATTGTGATTCTGAGGTCGTGAGAAGAACAGAGAGAATGTTTACAGATGTAGAGAAGAGGGACATGCACAGAGGCAAGGGAAAGGGTGAGACAGAGGCAGGTGATCCAGTGTGGCAACCTCTAAACAACTGAAAGAAGAAGTGTGTTTTGAAAACTCAGTGATACTTCAGTTTTCAAATCCTATTTAAGATGGTCTGTCTAAGTAGTTTATTAAAAATAATAATAACAAGATGATTTCTACTTCTGAAATCCATATATGCTAGTTGAGACAAAGAAACCTCATTAGTGGCTGTTACTGTGAAGCACCTACAGGATATATAGAGTGACCATTACTTGAGATACAGCACTTTATTTAAAAAACATATTCTGAATCTACTTAGGACAGTTTTCTATCTGCACATCACCCAATCAAAAGAAAGCAACATTTTATATCTTTCTTCCCCACTGCGATTGCTTCCTCGACTGACTGCCAAGCAGAAATGTATGTGAAAACTACAGCAACATCCAAACAAAGTCATTTTCATTTATTTTTGCAAAGTTCAGCAGTATATGGAGTACATGCCGCACGAGAGGTCAAATGTGCCAGGAAATGCAGAGAGGAAGTATCTTTTTTTTTTTTTAATGATCAACACAGCCAAAAAAGCCTCAACAAGTGACTCCAATTGGTATGGTGTTACAGTGAAGTGAAACCCCTGCATTTAGATTTACACGTATTAATGTCGTTTGTCTGGCTCTGTATAGATTTACCTCAACCCTCCCAGCTGAAATCAATATCACATTTGATTATCGGAGTGTTGCTATTGGATGATACCCGCTTACATCAGCAGCTGGTGTCAGATATCTGACACACAGCAGAGCATTAGCCATACTTACACATGAGCGTGCTGAAAGCCATCACAGCGAGAAGACCTTGCAGAAAGATCCCAAAGGAGTCCATCAAGGCGCCGTTCTCGCACCCCCGGTTATTGGGATCTGGTGTCGGTGTAGAAGACACCGATGTATTGGTAAGAGACACCGCGGGCATCCCTGCTCCTCCTGGACCGGCCAGTGCCACCTCTCCGTGCTGGGACAGCATGTTGACCCCGCTTGCTGCAGCCATGGGACAGAAGATCTGGACGTGACTAATTAATAAAGTGAAGAAAAGCAGCAGCCGCTCGGACCCAGTTCTGTTGCGAAGTTGCCGGTCAGCTAATCGATACGCTAAGCAGGACAGTCTTCGGTGAAAGATGGTGACATCCTCTCCATTGAAAGCTCGCACTCATTCTCCTGCTTCAGGCATCCATGCAGCCATAGCTTCTTTGTCACTGGACAAGTGAAGCCGTCGGCGCTGGAAGTTGCAACGACGTATAGCGTGGTCCCAACTGAGCCGTGTACACAGTTTGAAACGTCAATGCAACACTAAAAAAAGCTAGTTTAAAGGTACACACACAGTGGAGCAAACACTCCCTAGGTCGACCTGGAATCTTCTAATCTGGGAACTAACATCAGCAACAAACATACGCCCGGCTAAACAGCAAGTGTTTAACGCGTTATACGGACATGTCAGCCACTCGGAGGTAAATTTCAATTGATGGGGAAACCGTCCACCGTCTAGCGACTGAGGTGCTGCTATCGTTATCTACCTAGCTAGCCTCGGAGCGAACTACTGAGTTCAGTTAAGCAAAAGCTTTCAGGCAAAGTTATACTTCCTATAAGGTTTAAAACGGCGCATGCACCGGCGTCTCGTGACTGTCGCGCACAATACCAGCTCGTCTGTTTTAAAAGAACAGAAAAATAAATGTGAAGAACTGCAGGTCACAGCTCCCGTCTGTTATCCAGCTGCTTCCCCTGCCCAGCAGTGCCCACTCATGTTGACAGACGCTGGGTCACGTGGCGCGCACGTAGCCACAAAGTGCATGCCGGGAAAGGAGGAACAAACACGAGTCGCGTAAAAAGTGTTGTTCAGCTTTTATTGCAGTGTTGTCTTTAAATAGCAGTGATAATAATCTTCAAACAAATGCCTGTGCCATTGTTCTGAGCACAAGGGAACTACGAGAAAATTAGTAAACACAAACATCACACAAAATGAAGAACGTTACATCAAATCGCACGACACGGACTGAAAAAAACGAGGGGAGAAACGACTTACAAAAGCATGTTAAGGGTATCATCTTGCTTTAAAACTGCCAATTTCATTTAGCATCAGCAATTAAAATAACCCATTGCTGTTAAAAATGTTTTTATCAACTGTAGCTAAACTGACTCGCATCATATACCCAATATTGCAAAGTTTAGACCTATTCTGTGCAAATATATTGTGTTGTTTGGGCATTTACACATATGCACAAAGACGATTTTTTTTTCCTTTCAAATCACCCTGTTGCACTAGAAGATATTTGAATATGTACACTATATACAGACATGCACGTGTCATAATTGCATACCACCATGTAGTGCATGGTTTTGCTTGTGCTTGCAGTACAAAATCATTTCACATATTGAGACTTAAACCAGAGAGCCATAGTCTCTTAAGATCAAGACCCCATTTTACATTAAGCATACAAATTTGGCATAAAGTATTCCATCTTAAAACTAGCAACGGATCTTGATATACATGTTGCATGTTTAAAATAAAATCTAATGCAGTCCCTGCAATGACTCAAACTATCGCTTCAGAACTGGGCAGCAGTCTCTTTGCATCGTCTAGTTTGATTTCTGAAGCAATGATTACTCTGTTTTTTTCTTTAACTAATACACCGAAATATATTTTTGAAGACACTTTAAATATTCTCCACAGAAGTCACCAGATCAGAAGGCAGTTAATCTCACTTATTAGTTAGTGAGATTATTACTTACTTATCCCATAGTATTACAATTTAAAAGCTTTGATCCTGTGGTATTGCCCTAAGTGGACTGCAAAGTATGATTAAATAGAACAAGAGTTCTAGAAGTGGCGCTAAGTCACTTTTTAAGTGGGGTAAGAAAAGGGGAAAAAAAACAAAAACAACAACAACAACAACAACAACAAGAAAAGAAAAAAAAAAAAAACAGGTTCACAACACTCTGAAGATACAAATTAGTCAAACAGCATTAATTAAAATAGATACAGAAACCAAGCTCTTTTCTTTTTTTAAACCTAAAGCAAGTCCTTGGTGATGGTTTATTTTGATGTCAAAATATGCTGAATTTAAGGAATTTATACTTATATGTCTTTACATTTATTTGTGCCATCAAAGAGCCACAAGTTCCTTCCTTTGGGTGTTCTACTTTCTCAGCTGTCTTTCCCCCTCCCCAAGGATCAAGAAATGTTGCTTCGTCTATCATGTCCACGCAGGTTGTGGAATAGGAAGGATTCTAAACGATGTCCAGTGTTAGGGGGGAACCCACCTCCCCCCCCAAAAAACAACCCATTGATTTTGAATGGATTAACACACAGAACAGGGTGCAGTCACATCCCACATCTGGTCCCCCGTCAGCTACGTAGCAAACTGCTGATAAAATGCCAGCTTGACCCGCTCGATGTGGTGGCACAGCTTGATGGCCGGTCCCAGCTTCAGGTCCATACACTCTTGCACTGTCGGGAGGTTCAGCAGCAGCAGCGCCTGTCCATCAATCTCCTGCCGACACACGAGTTCATGTGAGATGCATTCTCTATATAGCTTGTTTTTGGCTTAACACACAAGAAATGTTAAAATGTTTCCATTTCTAACCATGGATACAGTACAAGTGTATAATGCACTTATTGCACTGAAGTAGAGTGAGCTCTTATCCCGAGTGGCCACGGCCATTAAGTCTGAGTATTTCATACCTGATCCAAGAAAATCCTCGCAAGAGGCGCACAGTCAGTGGTCCTGATAAAGCGAACCACATCAGTAACGCTCCACTCCAGGGGGCTGGTATCCAAACACAGTTTCTGAGGAGGCTCAGCTTTTGGCGTCTACAAACACACAGACAGTGTGAGTCAGACAGACTGAGATTTCCCTGCCAAAGAGGAAAGGCTCGCAGCTCATTTTAACCCTTGCAATTGATGCTGAGACCGGTACCAGACCTAAACATTTCATTAAATAAATAATAGCTGTGTAAAAGCAGTAAAAGGTCACAGTCAAACAGCCATTGGAGACATTTTTGTTTCTTTCAAGCAGCATAATGGGACAGAGCGTAATGCGGTAGAAACACCTTTTAAAATGTTACTAAAATGGAAATGTTAGAAAGCACAAGGCATTTATTTAGAGTGCAACTGGAGGGGCAGAGCGCAGAACAAGTGAAAAATCTTTGTGAACCTGCTGAGTATTAATTACAGATACACTGCTTGGAAACATAATTAGAAATATTGCAAAGCTCCTCTCTGTAATTTTCATCACCTTTGGTGAAGGGGGGTGGTTCTCATCATCAGAGAACGAGGGGGAGCGGGGTTTCCGGCGTCTGCGTGTCGGCCTGGGAGTCGCTGGCGGGGAAGGGGACGGTGTGGTGGGCTGAGATTTCCCGACTGACTGCTCGGAATCGTCCTGGAGATCGTCCTGCATCTCAGAGCCAGAGTCTTCACTCAGAGAGTCATCCTCATCTAAATCTTCCTCCTCCCCACTGCCCTGTGAGCGAAAGGATGACAAGCAGTCATTTCACACAGTTCGTTTAACGTAAAGCTTAATGCAGAAGTAACATGAGTTCTGGGGTACCTGTGGAGAGCCGGCAGGTGTGTTGTCAACGGAAGCTGATGAGCGTCTCTTTTTATGGACAAAGAGCTGCTTCCTCCTCTTCCTCCTCCGCCCCCTTCTTTTCACTCCAGCATCCAGATTAGTTTGGCCTCCAGGTGGACGACCAACACGTTTACTCTTCTTCTTTCCATAGTAATATGCTGATGGTAAAACAACAACCCTGTGGTGTCATTATCATGTTGCATCTGGCATGTCTTATAGACTTGAATACACCACTGAAACGGATGGATATTAATCTGACTCTAATGTTTGTATTCTTAAACGCTCTCTGTAAGAAAAGCACTGATAAACAGACTGTTCAGTAGGTCTGAATGAGATGAAAAAAGAGAAAGCATAATCATTTGTCTGTTGCTATTGAATTGCATCAGTTAACCACAACACTGTGATGCAGCTGCAGTAAACATATCAGCAAATCTGTGGCTTTGTGCTAAGAAAAAAAAA